CATTATATGTCATGCTTAGTCAGAGTCACTCGCTGATCAAGTTTCAGGCATTCATTTTTGTGCACCTTCAAAAACGAACCACCGCGAAATGAGGGGGCGAAGCCCAGAGCCATTTCGCTGATGGACAAAGAAGGAAATTTAGGAGGATAAAAGTTTAAGGCAAAAGCATACTTGTCCTTCACATAGTCATGAATGCGCAAGTTTGGGAGTTTTACCAACATTTTTTCTCCTTGTACAACATCCCACATATCTTCTCCTTGTGCTTCTAAATGAGCTTTCATGCGAACTTTCCAAACATCAAAGTATTCACCACAGAACAATGGAGGCTTGTTATTGTTGTCACCATATCTGAACAATGGATAAATTTATAATCAATGAAGTATGAGACTATGATGAGTAAATGACCAAAATTGCCTACTCGTAAATATGGTTCTATCAATTCATCGTGTGTGACATATTCATATACACGACATCGAAATCTCTTTGGATCCTAACAAAAAATAATTAGTAATACATTCCAAAATAGTGACTTACAAACTCCACAATGTTGTCGATAGTTTCTCTATTTGTCTCACTCATGGTTAAAAGAGCTATGTTTTGGAATGCTTTTGCGTGTTTGTTATTGATAAAATGGATATGTTGATTGATTTTTTATGGAAAGGATGATATATATATATATATATATATATATATATATATATATATATATATATATATATATATATATATATATATATATATATATATATATATATATATATATATATATATATATATATATATATATATATATATATATATATATATATATATATATATATATATATATATATATATATATATATATATATATATATATATATATATATATATATATATATATATATATATATATATATATATATATATATATATATATATATATATATATATATATATATATATATATATATATATATATAGCGAGCGAGAGAGTAAGACATCATTCATGTGAAAGTTGTTTGCATGCAAACTACAACTAATGTGCCATAGCCTATGAAGCATGAGCTTATATTTTTATACATTCTTGTTAAAGTGGTATGTCCTAGGGCCATGCATGCAATGCAAGATGGCAGATTGGCAGACTTAGACCATCTCCAACGGTGGTTCTTCAAATTGGTTTGTCAACTTGGCATTGAAATTGTCAACAATAAGTTGTTACAGCTGGTGAACGTTCCTTGCATAAGCAATGGTTCTTCATTTTTTATTATTATTAAAATAATTATTTAACTGGTTGATTTTATTTTATTTTTTTAACTTTTTTTATTTGTTATAAATATAAGTTTGTTGCAAAAATTTATAACAATCCTATTTTCTCTCACTTTTATTTACTCTTTAATTTTAAATTTCTCTCTCACAATTTCATCATTTTATTCATAAATTATTATTTTCAATTTTATGTTTAATTTTAATTTTATGTTTAATTTATATTTATAGTAATTAAAATTTAAATATTTAAATTATAATTTTAAATAAAATAAATTTAATATAAATAATATATTTAAGTAAAGTAGTGGGACCCAATATGGGTTCTTTGAAGTTGCACCATTGGAGTGAAAATTGAATGAGTTGTTTTAGAAGAGTGGGTCCCACAAAGAACCTAAAAATGGGTTGCACCATTGGAGGTGCTCTTAGAGACTAGGCTCAAGTTGGCATGCATGCAATGCTGTAGATCCTAAAAGATGCATGCAAAATAAATTCAAAATAATGCAGTAGCAACTGGCTATGGCGTATGCTCCTAAAGGATGCATACATGCGTCATAGACAATGGCATGACATGAATGCATGTGTCATGCACTATGGCTCATCGGTTTCAGTGCATGCGCCATATCCTATGACGCCTCCTCTTGTACACGACTTTTTCTGTTTGAAACATGATTACTTTATTATTTTTTTTGAAAATATGGTTATTTTGAAAATTTAATTGCAAAACATGGTTATTTTATAAAAAAAAAAATAAGTTTGATTTTTTATATTCATACATTTTAAAACATTAAATTAAATTTATTTTAAATTATAATAATTTATAAAAATAAAATTGAAATTTAGTTAACATAATAAGAATAAAATAAAATAAAAAATAACAAAATACAAATAAGGAAAATGTTTATTAATAAGAAAAAGTAAAAATAAGAAATGCAAGAGTAAATCTCAACCATTCATTATCATCACTACCCCATGATCCCTATTAAAAAGGAAATTAAATTTAAAATTAATTTAAAATTCACTTCTAAGATAATGACATGTGTATTTTTGCATTTATTCTCCAAATTATTTATTATTAAATAACATTACTCTAAAAATAATAAGTTCAAAACTACTTCAAATAGATTTTTTATAAAAAAAGTTACAAACTTATACTAAAAAATAATTATCAAACAAATTGTTTTTATTGATGTAAATTGAAAAGCTAATTTTTTTATCTTATTAAACATATTCTTAAAACAATGAAAAAAGTGAATATAAAAATATATATAAAAAATTAAATAAAGTTTTAGAAATATTATGATTTAATAAAACACTTTTGTATATTTTTATTCCCTCGAGACTAACATAAAATAAATTGTTATTCAGCTTGAGATTAACATAAAAAACTTTTATAATCTTTATTCCCTTGAGACAAACATGCACTTTTCTATAAACTTTTTATTTCTTTGAAATTTTTTATTTTAGAAATATGATGATTTAATAAATCAAAAAAATGGTAAATCAGCTTGTATTAGGAAAGAACTCCTCAATTAGAATAAACTTTTGTATTAGGAAATTCCTCATCTGATGAGAAAATTTTGACCATTAACTATTATTTTTCATGTCACTTATTTAAGTAAACAATTTCTTACTAGATTTATTCAACACATCAATTAGTTAATAAAATTTAAAAATATATTTGCTTATAATAATATCCTAAGAATAATTATTTAAATAAGGAAAATGCTAACGAGTGCCCTCAGGGCATTGGTTAAGAGATTAAAATGGTAAGTTGGGCATTATTTAAGAGATTAAAAATATATTTGTTTTTAAATATATGTGTATTCAATGCCTTGAAAAGAGAAATAATAGACTTTTTAAAGAATATTGTGTGTATTGAGTGAACTAAATATAACATATTTTCCTTATTTGAAATTCTTAACTAGTGACCTGAGGGCACTGGTTAGCATGACCCTTTAAATAAAGGTTTTTATTTTGTACTTTAAGAGTATTTGCGATGCGGATTGAATCAATTTTAAGACAACAATTCGTCTGATTTAAAAATAATATCATTTGTAGGTTGGTTAAATTTTAAATAACTAAATAAAAAAAATTAATCAGATTTGATTCAATTTCATACATTTAACTTAAACTAATTTTTAAATATACAAATTATAAATTAATTTTTTTTATTAATATTAATAATATTAAAATACAATAAAATAATAGGTGTAAAGTAATATATAACTTATAATATATTAGAAATTAAAATAATAAAGATCAATTATGTTTGAAACAAATAAAATATTAAAAATAAACAAAACTATTAACGAATAATAAATTAATACAATAATTTAGTTAAGTTAATTCAGTTGATAACTATACAGAGACAAAATGCTGAATTAATTATATTCATGTTAATTCAAACATATTATTTAATGTAAATTTGAATAATGTATGTTCAATTTCTTAAATTCATCTGTAAACAAAATTATATATATTTATTGGTTGGTTTGATTATAATATTGTATGTTGTATTATTTTATTAAATTTATAAGATTTTTAAAATTTTAAATAAGGTTGTGGATTTTTAAAATAAAGTTAAGTTCAATTGAGCAATTTTAGAATTAAATTTTCAAATATATTTCGTGAATTTTTTTAATTGAGTTTAATTGGTATGCAGTGATAGTGAAAAATAATTTTACACTATCATCCAATATGAATATATTAATCTGTCATGTCATACAGTTAATTAAAAATTTATAGTCTGATATGTCGGGATGCAGAAGGTGATTGGTTGACAGTGTAAAATAATTTTACACGGTCGTGCATACCAATTAAATTCTTTTGAATTTGTAGATTTTTAAGACAAAATTAAATTTAAATTTAATTACTTTTATTTTATTTTAATTTTGTTTAAAAAAAAATATTATTTTAAAATGTTAAATGTATATAAAAAAGTAAACTTTCAAATTCTTAAAACAAACAAGTTAAATTTAATTTAATGAGTAAAACTTACTTACTTAAATTGAGTTGTTCATGGATTTTAAATTAGTCAAATTTAAACTTAAAAAAAATTCGTGTCAAATTCAAATCGAATTTTAAAGTGAATTAATTTTTATTAAGTCAAACTGAATTAAGATGATTTCGACTCGATTAATTCTTTTCCATTCTTAATATAACACCTATGTATTTTTGAAGTAATTATAATAAAAGTTTAATTTGTATATATTATTAGTGTAAAATTATTTTACACTGTTATTTAATAAAAATTTATCGATCTGTCATTTCATATCATTAACTTAAAATTCACCGTTTAATATAGTAGAATACATGAGACTGATTAATTTAAATTTTTGATACATATTAATTAAATTCTTATAATAAAATATAGAAATTATAATAATTTAACTTTATACTGTAATTGGTATGAATGTCTGTATAATAAACCACCCACGGAATTAGTTTAACAAGACACGATTAGTACATTTCTTAATAACTGTGAAATTGTATAAAGCCACTATATGACGGTGGTGGATGAAAAAGAAGCACGTAACAACTTTGTTTGTTTCCATATTCGCAAAACGACACAATTCATTCACATTCCTTCAATTCCGTTTCCTTTTCTCTTTTCCACGGACTCAACTAAAGTAAACTAAAGTAAAGAACCACAATACATTAAAAATAAACCAGAACCTTCTCTTTCTTCTTCTCTCTTTTTCTACCTATAACTTAACAAACTTCCACTACCAAGTTAACACACCTTTGCAACAATGCTAGTTATCAAGCTCAGATCCTTCATTCTCTTTCTTCTTCTCACTCTATCAACTCTCTTCCTTCTTCACCCAACAACCTATGCATTCAACCAAAACCAACCTATCAAAACCATTGTTGTTTTGGTCATGGAGAATCGTTCCTTTGATCACATGTTGGGTTGGATGAAAAAGGCTATCAACCCTTTCATCGACGGTGTCAATGGAGATGAATGCAACCCTGTTTCAGCTGAAGCCTCAAAAAAAGACACAATATGTTTCAGTGATGATGCAGAGTTTGTGGATCCGGATCCGGGTCATTCATTTGAGGATGTTTTGAAACAGGTATTTGGTAATGGTAATGGTTCAATTCCTTCCATGAATGGTTTTGTGGAACAAGCATTGTCTGTGTCACAGAATCTCTCTGAGACTGTGATGAAAGGGTTTAAACCGAAATCTGTTCCGGTTTATGCTGCTTTGGTTAAGGAATTTGCGGTTTTTGATAGGTGGTTTAGTTCGATTCCCGGTCCAACGCAACCCAATAGGCTTTTTGTGTACTCTGCAACTTCTCATGGTTCAACTAGTCATGTTAAGAGACAATTAGCAATAGGGTATCCTCAGAAAACCATCTTTGACTCTATGCATGAGAATGGTTTGGATTTTGGGATTTATTTTGAGAACATACCCACTACTTTTTTCTATAGAAATCTAAGGAAGTTGAAATATATATCAAAATTTCATCGGTATGATTCTAAGTTCAAGAAAGATGCTGGAAATGGGAAGCTTCCGTCATTGACGGTGATTGAACCGAGGTACTTCGACTTGACGGGTTCGTCTGCGAATGACGATCACCCTTCTCATGATGTTGCGAATGGACAAATGTTGGTTAAGGAGGTTTATGAGACTCTGAGAGCAAGTCCGCAATGGAATGAAACTCTTTTGGTTATTACATATGATGAGCATGGAGGATTTTTTGATCATGTCAAGACTCCTTTTGTTAACATTCCTAACCCAGATGGGAACACAGGACCTGCTCCTTATTTCTTTAAGTTTGATCGGTTAGGTGTTCGGGTGCCGACTATTATGGTCTCTCCTTGGATCAAGAAAGGGATTGGTAAGCTCTAAATCCTCTTAGTTTATTCATCATTTTTCCTCTTTGGTCAAAACCATTTTACCTGTTTTTTTTTTATTATATTGGATGTTGTATTTGTTTTTTTGGGACCATTGTCCTTTCTGTTTACTGGTATTCACTATTCCAATGCCTTTACCTTGGTTTCATTGGTTCAACATGTCTACAAATTTGTTTACTTGTTCTGGTTTTTCAGTGGTAAGAAGCCCCAAAGGACCAGCTGAGAACTCTGAGTTTGAGCACTCGTCAATTCCCGCCACCATAAAGAAGATGTTCAACCTTTCCTCTAACTTTTTGACTCACAGAGATGCGTGGGCTGGGACATTCGAGGATGTTGTTGGGGAGGTAACTTCGCCCAGAACAGATTGTCCAGGTATGAATTCCTCAATAATCAGGGGTGAATATACTTATCAGTTATCATCTTGGACTATGCAACTTCACTGGTATTTAGTATGTTACCTTACTATGTGAAGAAATATTAAGCTGGCATAATGTGTGTATTTCAGTGACTTTGCCGGATGTGACGCCTTTAAGGAGCACTGAAGCGAAAGAAAATGGAAGCCTCTCTGAGTTTCAGAGTGAGGTGGTTCAGTTGGCAGCTGTTCTAAATGGAGACCACTTCTTGAGCAGTTTCCCGGACGAAATGAGTAAGAAAATGAGTGTGAAGGAAGCTCATGACTATGTGACAGGAGCTGTTTCGAGATTCATAAGAGCTAGCAAAGAGGCTATCAAGTTGGGGGCTGATGAGTCTGCTATTGTAGATATGAGATCCTCTCTCACTACTAGATCTTCTAGTCACAATTAATATTATGCAACACCCAAAAATATGAAGAAAAAAGAGAGTTGTGTGTATATGCTTGAATTATTATGTTAGATTTTGTTAGGACTGAAAAATATAATGCAATAGCTCATATGGAAAGGGAAGTGTGTGTGTGTGTTGGCTAGAATGCTGTCAGAAAATCATGCAAAGCATGGAATGTCTTTCTCTGTATGATATTAAAAGAAATTAGGAAAACAAAAATAAACATGGGGAGTTTTAGTTTGGTTGGTGAGTGATTTCAAAGAAGACATATTCAATCCTTTTGTACCAAGTACAAAACGGTATTCTAAATGTAGCATAGTTTTGTTTTGAATTGCTTGTATTATAATGTGAATTTCTTGATTGCCATGAGCTAAGCTACATGACATTTAATTGATACATTATTTTTTGGTAAAACATTTTATCTCAATTTATGAAATAAGAGCAATTCTGGAAGGATAGACAAATGATATGCACAGTTCTTCATCTGAAATCACACAATGTCAGAAAATTCACTTGATCTGGTGTTAAAAAAACTTTAAAACGGATTCGACGCCTCATGTGGCCGAAAATTCATCATAACTTTATCGTGATTTTCTGCATAACAACTTGATAAATAAAAAGTATTATATCCATATAAGGAACAAGCTATAAATTGCACATATTGATTGGTGAATAAAACATTCAAAGTTCCATCTTTGTACAAAAGACCAGGACCTTCTTTAACTCAAGAGAACTATTTTGGTACAACTTCTAGCAACAATCAAATAAAAGATTACATCGGACTGTCATCAAAGATTGGCAGGTTGCTATTTTTCAAAATTTGTCAACTATTCTACAAATTTCCAGACTGCTAACACCACTTCATTCCACAACTCTGAAAGTGTAGTTTCAGGATAAGAGCATGCTAATACAACCGATTCAACTTCAATTGGTAAAACATAAAGAAGTGTCATTACCATTTACTGTAATCTAGATCATGTTATCGTTTCTTATATCACCCTACAAATGCAAGCACAACAAACTTCAGGTGGAAAAGGGACTTTGCCATGTTGATATGTCAGTGATAAGCTCTCGTAGTTGATCTATGAGTATCTTCAGGTGCAAGTTCTTGTTGCCAAGTTCCTAAATTTATGAATAGAAATCCAATGTTTAACACATTAGTATAATTGAGTAAAAAAAAAAGAGTATAGTTACTTTAAAAAAAGCCAGGCTCCCAACAACTTCAGGTTTTCGAAAATAGACTAAAAATATAAAACATCATAAGATTCTGTTAACTGCAGCCAACATAGTTTGACTGAAAAGTGCCATCCGATACGCCAAAACCTGAGACCAAAATAATAAGCCTTTCTTACAAGGATAGAGACAGAGGTTAACACAACAAACCTTTCTTAAATAAGAGGCTTGCTCTTCCAACTTCTCAATTTCAGCTTCATTTTCAGGGCTAGCAGCTGAACCATCGCCAAATGTGTTTGTCTAGAATGTTAACCAAGTTAGTTTAACACGGAAACAAAAGCTTTGATAGATAAAATGATGGTCACAATCAGATGCAATTTTGTGTGTCAATATCCTTAACCATTAAACAGGACTTGGAGTCTAAGTCTATGCAAGGAAGACATTGATTCTAAATAGAGTTTTCTATTAACATAGAAATAGTGAGTTCCTGAATTTATTTAGAAAGTGTTTTACCCCGTGCTGAAGTTTTTCATATAGTGATCCTTACAACTTTCAATTCCATTTCAAAAGGAGATCATATTAAACCTTGGTGCAGAGAAATTTCCATTGTCTTGTACTAAGTCAGAAAGATATCTAGAGGAATTGAAATTCACTAAAAATTTATTGGTGACTGATTACATTTTAGAAGGATCTAGATAGTGAGTAATTGGTTGATGTCAATGTTATAAATATGTGATTGGTGAGTGTAATTATCATCAATGAAATGAATGGAAAAGTTAATTTTAGATTTTTTAGCATCTTTTGGTTAATTGTTCTTTATTTCTATTAGTAGCAAAAGCATATTCATAACAGTTTAAGTAATAAAACACAGTCAGAACTCAAAACTCATTAGTAAGGTCACTTAATGCTCCTCTCAGTTCTGCATCATTATAACTTATAAGGTTCTATAAATAGGAGCTTTAAAACTTTTCATCATGTTACCGGAATATCATGTGTTAAACTTATCCATGGTATACATTTAATATCCTTGTGCAAGTGTAGAAAACCCAACAAAATGGAGGGTCACTTCATATATATGATTATATCTTAGAACTTTGAAACTAAGGTATTTTTATATTTCCATTCATGGAAATGACTCATCCTAATAACACTCAGTATTAACACCACACCAGAATAAAAAACTCCAAGATCAGCAAGGTTCGTCTTGATACTTGACTAGACATATAACTTGAGAATGACATGAACTTCATACACTCTGCTAACGGTGATTATCGTATGGAAAACTATATTGAAGGAAATATGAAGAGTTGGTAGATCATCACAGATTAACATCATAAATCATATCTCACAAAACATCATTTCCTTTTGGAGTTGTTTTATTCATAAAAGATCAAATGTAGCTAGAGTTATGACTCAATACTCCAGTTCAGCGCATGACTTGGCAACTATTTTCTATTTGATTGAGAGATCCAGACCAGTCAACATCAGTATAAACAACTATAATTGTATGAACATTGCTATTACTAGACCCTTCCTGGGAGAGACCTTAAAATTTCACACAATTGCATCTAAAATATCACAATGATGAGATTTATGAACTTGTGAAACTGATTCTCAACATAAATGGCAAATAATATACCAATTGCTAGGCCTATATGGATTTTGATCTAATAATGGGCAATAGGAAGAAGGATGTTGATCAACAATATGGAGTTGTTTTTACCGTTTCCTATAAAATATCTTAAAATACAGGGGGGAAAAAAGCAAGTATACAGCGGGAGTATATTATATGATAACTCGTATTTATTGTGAGAAACATGAACCATCGATAGTAGCCGTTCAATCAAAGATTCAAAATTCAAAATTAACAGTTTAGATTAAAAAATCCCAATAAAATGTAATGTGATCTTCAATCTCCCCTCACTAGCCTGAATTGTACTCTCCAGTTTCCACTCTGTCATATGAACACATTAATGTGTGCTTTAATCAACGATCTCTCATGTTTGACGTTTAACATCACCTATCTAAGCTAAGAATTCTGTGCAATAAATATTTCTTGTTTCTTCAACTTTAATTAAATTAAATTATTGTAATCACGAGCTTTGGATCGAGACAAGGCTCGGTTACTTTGATTTTGTTTAGTCTCGATAATTTTGTGATTTCCTAAATTGTTTTTTTATTTGACCATCAAATGTCACTATTCAACAAGAATCAAGTTATATTTTGAAATTTGACTATGAAATTCTTCATAGTTGTGTCAATGAAAGGGGTTGAGAAAATGGAGACACGTGATATTTTAATGAGATTTTTTAATCAAAACCGTTAATTTCAATCAAATGGGTGTTAATGAGAGTTCTTGTATCTCACAATAAACATGAATCATCGCTTGATTACGTGGCAAAAATTAAGATTAGGAATACAGTCATCACTACAATAAACTTGGTAACTCTTATTGCAGAAAAGATTTTAACTTGTGGTTTGGACATTTGTGAAAAGACCCAAAAAAATGCCGGTAAATATGGTGAGCAAATGTAAGACAGTCAATGCATAAAGATATGGAGAGATCAAAGAAAACTACTCTATGTTAAACCATTAAGGAAGACAATAAGTGATATATATGTGAACTTCATACATGACATGACATCATATTATGGTATAGTTTGACCCATCAGGTACCCACTTTATTGCTGTTGCATTGATGAAAAAACCAATGTTGTCAATTACGGATCGCGGAAAATAGTGGTTTGTTTAAATTCCGCAACGCACCAGTGCTCTAGCGCCGCTCTAGCCGCCAATTTACAACACTGGAATACAAAACAGTTTCTTACCTTTCTGGTATTTGATTTTTGAAGTATTTTACTTTTGATTATAGTCAAATGTTAGTGGTTAATGTGTAAAGACGAGGGGAATCCGAGATTGAACATTAGACCTTCCTAATTCACGGCGTTTCTATCCAATGAGAATAACTTCTCCCATTTTCAACCCGTCCCACTTATTGGTCATTTCTACCAACACCATTTTCCATCCATGCTCTATTAATATTCATCTACCTAAAGTTCAAGTTTTCAAAGAATCCAAAACACATTAACAAACAAACAAACATAGTAAAACTTGAACAAAATAAAACCCAGATTACAAAACTAGGGTTCAAAATTGTACCTTCTGAGAGGCAGGGATTGCAGCAAGAACACTACGTAATCCGGCAACAGCCTTCTTATACCGAAATCGAGCTTCATCAAGAGCACCACCAGTACCGCCACCGGAAGCCGCTCCGTCAGCGTGTTGACCGGAGCTATCAGAAGCGGCATCGCCATTTGAGGAAGGGGCATTGTGAGAGGTAACCGCGGAAGAAGGAGCGGACCACACAGCTGGGTTACAAAGTTCATCATTCATGGAAGAAAGTATCTTGTAAGCATATTGTATGGTTTCTTCTAAGTATCTATGACCTTCCATCGCTAAATCCTGCGTCGTTTTGCCGCTGATTGACATTGCACCGATCACTGATACTTCTTCCATTCCAAAGCCTAATCAATGTTGTGGATCTGTTTCACACAATGTTAGGTTTTCTGGTTTCTGATTCTTCGCAATTAATATTCAAGCCAAATTTCTTTTATATACATATTAAAAAATTAAAATTAAATGTTTTTTAATATATTGTTTTTTTTTTATCAATGTTTTTTAATATATTGTTAAAAAATTAAAATTAAATATTTTATATATGACATGATATAAACTCAAAAATAACAAAATCAAGACTCAATTGAAGTTAATTTGATTGGCAAAAGTATATATCAAGTGAGACTATATATCATGTCATCTTTGAAACATTAATACTAGGCATAGGCATAGACATCACAAAAAATTTGAAAACCACCGTCTCCCCTTTAACTTTAAGGAGGAAAAATGGAGATTGCGAGTGCAAGAAATATTCAATGTTCAACCACGGAGGCAAAGGTGGGAATTATGGGTACGAATAGGTTGGACGAGTTAGGTTATGTCAAGTTTGAGCATGTTAGTGCACAAGATGAAGAAGATAAAAATGAAGAAAAGAAAGAAGAGAATAATAAACTTCCATTACTCTTACAAAGTAGCTACAAAAATGGTTACTCCACTACACTAGTAATACGCATCACTTGATGCTTAGTGTGTGTACAATTATTGACAGTTACGCTGGTATATATACACAAACAAAAGTGTCACGTAAGTAATATGCTAAAATATTGAATTACCCTTCAACATCATTCCTTAATTAAAGATTTAACTTATTAAAACTAACAACACCAATTTCATCCTTCAAGTGGAGAAATTGATCAGTCTTGATCGCCTTCGTCAAAACATTTATTAGTTGCTTCTATGTGCTACAATGCACAACTTCTAGCACTCTTTTATGGACTTGACTTCTCAGGAAATGATAATTTTTCTCAATATGCTTGCTTCTTCCATGCAACAGTGAGTTTTTGGCAAGATTGATTGCAGACTTGTTATCAATCATTAGCTTCAGAGGCTTGTTTACCTTGATCTTCAGATCCTGCAGTAAATTTAGAAGTCAAACCGCTTGACATGCAGCCACATCACCTGCAATGTATTCAGCTTCACAAGTTGACAAAGTAACAACTGATTGCTTCTTGGAACACTAAGAAATAAGACCTCTCAGATACTTAAACAAATATCCAAAAGTACTTCTTCTGTCAACTTTGTCTCCACGCCAACAGAGTCTGAGTAACACATCATCTATGAATTAGCTTTTCCTCCAAAAGGGAACAAAACTCCATACTTTAGAGTCCTCTTTATATACCTCAGAATCCTGACAGCAACTTGGTAATGAGACCACTTCGATTTATTCATAAACCTACTCACCATTCCAACTGCATAGCAAATGTCAAGTCTGATATTACACAAATACCTCAGAGAGCCAACCAACATATTGAAAGTTGTAGCATCTACATCATCACCCTCAGGGCCAGAATCCAATTTGTGATTTGTTTATGAAGGTGTAACAACAACCTTACAATTCAGCAACTCGAATCTCTTCAAAAGCTCAAGTTCATACTTCAGCTGATACGAAGTGATACCCTTCTCAGAGTACATAAATTGCATCCCTATAAAACATGTCATATTTCCTAGATCAGGCATCTCAAACTCATTCATTAACACCTTCTTAAACTTAGCTATCTGATGTTCACAACTTCCTGTTAGCAATATGTCATCAACATATAGATATACCATAATCATATTGTCTTCAGAAGTATGATAAACACAAATGTCATACTCTATCTCACACTTTATGAATCCCTGACACTTGAAAAATGAATCGATTTTCAGATTCCAAGCTCTAAGAGCTTGTTTCAGCCCATACAACGCTCTATGTAACTTGTACATCATCCCTTCTTAATTCTTTTTCTCAAATCCAGGAGATTGTGACACATATAGCTCTTCTTGCAATGAATCATTCAGAAATGCAAATTTCACATCTAAATGCATCATAGGCCAATTCCTGTTATTAGCTATCGCAATCACCAGTTTGATTGTCTCATGTCTCGCTATAGGCGCAAGCACTTCAAAGTAATCTAACATAGGTTTCTCTAGAAATCATCTTGTTATTAATCTTGCTTTATATTTTCCAATTGATCCATCTGACTTTAGTTTCACCTTGAAAACCCATCTGACTCAGATGGCTTTCTTGTTCTTTGAAAGCTCATTAAACTTTCAAGTCTTGTTTCTTTCTATAACCTCAAGTTCTTCTTTCATGGCCTTCAACCACACTTTCTTCTTAAGTGCTTCTTCAACACTAATTGGTTCAGAGCCTACTAATATTGCACACTGAATGACTTCTTCTTCAGAGTCTACTTTAGTATCTTGTAACATGTCAAACCCTGCAAATCTCATTGATATGCTTCTGATTCTTTATGGCCGATGAACATGTTCAGAATCTTCTTCAGATGCTAGAACGATATCAGATGTTGGAACCTTAGAAGTACCACATTCAGAGGCATGACCACCTTCAGAGTTTGGATTTCCACCAGAGTCTGAATCACCATCAAAATATGGATCAGAATCAGATTCTCCTTCAGAGTCTTCTTTAGCTTCAAAGTCACCTTCAGACTCCGGCTCATCTTCAAAATCATCTTCAGAATCATCTTTTAATTCTAACTCATCTTCAGAACCTTCAGATTCTAAAGTATCTTCAGAAGTTAACTCGGGTGTTAACATTGCACCAGAGTTGGATTGAAATTCTTTCACAATAACATCTCTGCCTAATTCAACCTTGTTAGTGATAGGACAATAAAGCTTATAAGCACATGTACTATTGTACCCTACAAGCAACATGACTCTACTTCTATCATCCAGTTTCCTTCTCTTAGCATATGGAACATGTCTGTAACACATAGAATCAAACACCTTCAGATGACTAACACTTTGTTTATCTCCAGTCTACTTCTCTAAAGGAACAATCTTCTTCAACTTCTTTGTTGGACACTTGTTGAGCACATATGTTGTCGTGGCAACATCTTCTCCCCACAATGTATGAGGGAGTTTTTTCTCTTTCAGCATGCTCCTTGTTATATTAAGCAAAGTTTGGTTTCTTCTTTCAACTAGACCATTAGGCTAAGGAGTGTATGGAGCAGTCACCTCATGCTCAATTTTACTCTCCTCATAGAAATTCTTGAACTTTGTAGAGTTATACTCACCTCCACCATCAGTTCTGAGAATTTTCAACTTTTGACCACTTTGTTTTTCAGCTTTCACTTTGAATTTCTTAAATTCAGCAAACACTTGTGTTTGAACTTTATAAGGGATGCCCACGTCATCCTTGTAGACTCATCAACAAACAATACAAAATATTTATTCCCTTCAAGTGAAGGTACTAGAAATGGTCCACACACATCAGACTGTACCACACCTAAAGCATGCTTTGCTCTTGGACGCATTTCAGATGCAAATGATAATCTTGGTTGCTTCCTTCTCATGCACATATTGCATGACTTCTACAACTTCTTAATTGCAAAAGTTCCATGTAACAACTTCTTTGAATTCATATGCTCTAAGCTTTTGAAGTTCAAATGACCAAATTTTTTGTGTCACAACTCAATTTCCTTCAAAACACTTGTTGCACTAAGGCTTTCAGAATCTGCAATTTTAACATTCAGTTTGAATGTTTTATTCCTTCCCTATTTTGACTTCATAATCAGCTTCTGATTACACTCACACAACTTCAAAAGATTGTCCTTCATGGTAGCTGAAAATCCTTTCTCAATTAATTGGCCTACACTCATTAGATTTCTTTTTCATGTCAGGCACTTACCACACATTCTAAATCAATGATATTTTAACATTGTTCAAAACTACTCTAACATTTCCCATACCTTCAGCATTGAGGTATTTATCATCAGCACATATGATTTGTGTCCTCTTTCTAAAGTCAAAGTCAACCAACCATTTCTTATTTCTAGTAAGATGATTTAAACAACTAATGTCCATATACCACCAGTTTGCTGAATACACATCATCAAATTCATAAGTCATCAATAGAATAGATTCATCAACAAAATCTCTTATGTCTATGTTTGCTTCTTCTGACTTCCTTTCCTTGTTTGACCAACAGTCAACAACGAAGTGGTCAAACTTATTACAGAGGTAGCATTGAACCTTCCTCTTTTCATACTTCTCCTTCGCCTTCTGAGCATTCTTCTGCCTTTCAGAAAGTTGAGGTTTCTGACTTCTGAATACCATTAGATCTCTTCCTAACTTCTGACCAAGATTACTTCTGATATTTCTTATTAGAAGCTGCTTTCAGAGCCTGCTGCTCTACCTGTCTTTCAGAGTTTATCTCAGTCAGACGTAACTCCAGTGCTTTTAGACTGTTTTGCAACTATTCAATTCTCATGTTGCTAAGATTCTTAGATTGTTCAATTGATACCACAATATAATAAAACTGAGGAGTAAGAGATCTAAGTACCTTTTCAATGATCTTTTCTTCACTGAGAGTTTCTTCATACGACTTTGTCTCATTTGTGATCATAATCACTCTGGAAATGTAGTTAGGTACCTTTTTATTGTTCTTCATGTTGATATCAATTGTTGGTGCACAAGGTGAAGAAGATGAAGATGGAGAAGAGAGATAAGAGAATAACAAACTTCTATTACTCTTACAAAATGGTTACTCCACTACATTGGTTATGCGCACTACATGTTGTTCAGTATGTGTAAACCTATTGACAGCTACACTAGTATATATACACAAATAAATATGACACGTAGGCAAAATGATAAAATACTAAATTACCTTTTCAATAGAGTCTAGCCTACTAAAAATTTAAATCCTAAGTCTAATCTATAGTTTATCATATGTTTATTTGTTTCCGACTTTTTTAAAGGTTTGGTTGGGAGGAATATTTTTGTCACCCCTCAAATTATACTTGGCACCCCCACATCCTCTATATTTTTACCATATTAACCCTTAACAAAATTATATTTCTTTTCACAAAAACTATTGGAGAAATTCGAACTTTTACAAAACCTATATAATTTTCCGGACATTTCATATACACTACCAAATATTTTGCGTTGGATGACGAGTAAGTATGATTTTTTACCGCACTTTTAAGTATTTTCTGAATTTATATTGTATTTTTTCTGGATTTTTCAAAATGTGCGGTAAAAATACATTCATTTTTCCAATTTTTTTGAAATTTCCATTAAAAATGCATGCATTCAACCAGTTTTTTTGAAAAACCAGGTAAAACTACATACAATACTGTGGATTTTTCCAAAAACCTGGAAAAATGAATGCATTTTTACCGCACATTTAAAAAATTCGGAAAAATGGATGCAATTTTATCGGACATTTCAAAAAATCTAGAAAACTGGATGCATTTTTAGGGCACATTTTAAAAATTTGGATATGTGTATGCATCGTTTTCGCACATTTTGAAAAAAACGGAAAGTAAAACTTTTTAGATTTTATGAAAAATCTGGTAAGCAAAAAAACGTTGTTTTGTTTTTTCGATGAAGACCAGAGGCGCAAATGGTACAATTAATTGTTGACTGTGCAATATAGCTGCTGGCAGGGCTTGATAAAGGGGAGGTGATGTGTAGGACTCGCATCTCTCGGCAGGGAGAGTGGCGCCGATCAGGTCTCATAGGAGACGACAGGCCGATCAAGCTCAGTTTCGTGCACCTAACACTATCCAATGTAGATGATCTCAATATGCTTTTGTATGAATGAGAGATGTTGATGATGCGCCAGTTTATGTGCCCCATCCGACAGAGACAGAGACAGAGACATATGTGCCCAATCCAGCAGAGATGTATGTTGCTCATACTCTTGAGATGGAAGAGGGGTAACAACTATTTTAGAGGTTGCTATGAAGACTAGTGAGGTGCCACCTACTGACGATATGAAGGTTACTCTTCCTGTTGAGACAGATGTCCCTGCCCTTGCTTCGGCAGACCCCTCTATACGCACAGATGGGGGATTTTCCGGTGGACTCAGTGACACTTTCGTTCTCACAGGATATGAAGACCATGTAGCTTTCAAGTTATGGAAGGGAGAGGTATGTATATGATATGTTGATGATGTTACTTTATGTATTAATGGTACTTTGAAATTAACTGATATTTTTTATTTTATTTTTGTTACAACATTGAATTTCATTTAAGGTGCCCACCTGTGGGTTGAAGCTTAAGAAGTTCTCTGATGTTGTGATGCCACCAGAGGTGAAGAGGATAATTGAGGAGTGTGGTCTCCTTTCACTGGTGGAGAGTTCACTGATCGTGATTGACAGTCAGCTATTGACAACCTTTATTGAACGGTGGCACAAGGAGACATTTTTCATTCCATCTTCTATTTGGTAAGATGAAGATTACATTGGATGATGTCCCATCACTTTTCCATATTCCGTTGTCAGGTAGTTTCTTCATTCCATCTGATACTTTTACAGTAATTAGGGGTTACAAAGGAAAGTGTGATCGATAAGTTTAATTATATGAGGGGTGCTCGCTTTCTCCTATCTTGGCTACAGGATATGTATAGCGAGCTAGTGCATCTAGGTATGTATGAGGCAACCTCTAGGGTATACATGTTACATCTTGTAGGATGTACTATCTTAGTAGATAAGTCTCATGTTTACATTGATGTAAAGTACATGTGACTGTTTAACAACTTTGAGCATTGTAGTTATGCTGCCCTTAGAGAAGCAATTGTTTTTTAGACTAGACAACTTGTTGGTTATATGAGTCAGTTTTAGGTATAACTGAATTATTATTTCTTATTATTTTAGTTCTATTTGTGATATTATTTTCGGTTATATGAGTCTCTGTTATTGTGTGTAATGTTGGATATACGAGCATTTCCCATCCATTTGTGACAGAGAGGTTGTTGCTACCATTGTTAGGTCCCGACGAGCCAAGAGATAGAGGAGCACACATACACATCAAGGAGGTGTTGTGAAGTACATGAGGAGGATTGATACACTTATTGTAAATGATGTCATCTAGATACCCTACACAGGCTATATAGTGGATGAGAAGGCATATGACTCTATACTTTTTTTTTCTTCTGGTTACCTGTGATAGGATGGTTTAGTGGCTAGGAACTTACGTGAGAGGTGCCTACGCCAATATGGATATATACAGAACATTCCACGACCAATTCCTACTATTCCATCTGAGGACATTTAGATAGTTTTGTGGTAACATTATGAGTTCTACATGTGCCATTAGATATTGTGTAGTGGAGGTTCAGTTCCATGCATAATGTGTTGATGGATATTTGGATTGGTACCTTACTGTATCACACCCTCGCATCATCCCACCTAGGCAACATGGAGATGATGTTGAACCTTCTCGTGTTGGATCTTCACATGATGATTCTTCTCATAATGATGTCGGAGTACCTTATGATGACATGACGCTACCTTCACCGCCTTCACATGGTGCAGATGACGCTCAATGCCTGTAGATGATAACAAATATTATGGATAGCCTAATGGGTTTGGTGAACCCAGATGATACCACTTGTTAGACGACGACAATGATCTAGAAAGGGTTTGAATAAATCATTTATTAAAAACAGAGTCGACGATTATTAAGATTTTGATTTTAAAAAGTTTTAAGCGGAAGCGTCCGAGGAATTATGCTCGCCTAAATGAACCGTTACCAAAAATATCGGATATACGCAAAGCCTATATGGAGTACCGATAAAGACGAGAATTAGAATCAATAGTTTGAATACAAATCAATCAAATTTTGTCCACTTAAAGTTGGACAGCTTCTAATGTTGTGAAATATAAACCAATAGAAAAATAGCTCAAGTGTTTGTGTTCACGCAATTAGTCAAACACTTGATGTGCGAAGCACCTCAAGTAAATTTCAATAGGTGAATGAAGTGTTATGTTCTTCAATTACAATCAAAAGATTGTAATGAGGTTTCTAAAAATGTTTCAGCACTAACGCACACCAGAATTTTAATCAACTAATATGTTTGCACACAAACTCAAAATTCAGCAATGAAAATAGTAAAAAGAGAGAACACCAATTTGTTGAGGCAGTTCCCCCATCGTCCTCGCTCGGGGTACGTCTTCCCTCAATTCTAAAAATAGAATTGAGACCTATATATATAACCAGTTGCGAATTGTTTTTACAAGAGAAGCAATAGAGTTCAAACAATCAAACCCAAGTGTTGATGTCGAGCCTATGCCTTCTCTTCCCTTGATTCAATATGAATCAAGTCCTTCGAACGTGATAAGTAAACCTCTGATTACGACATCACCTTTGAACAACCCTCTGGTCTTCAAATCTTGCCTGGCTGATTTCAAACACTAATGGTTCGAACCCAAACATTCCTACCATAATCTTCTATTTAACGCTACTAAATTGACAGAACTTCCCGTTCTTCAATTACCTTCGCTCGGCTGAATCTGTAAAGGAACGATTTGTGCAAAACCCCTAAAATCCAAGATTCTTGGAGGACAAAATCCTCAAGGTTTTATTCAAGAAAAACCCACTTATTTCTCAACCCAAACCCGATACACCAATCCTAAGTTTGGATGTTATCACCTTGATGATGCAGAATACACAACAAAAATGATTATGTGTAGTTGTTGAGAAAATGCAAGAAAGTGGATGAAGATGATGAGAACCAAATCAGTGTATATTTTCACTTTTTTTCTTCTTTTGTGTAGAATAAACTAACTCAATATATATGCAAAGTTGAAATCAAATAACCAACATAACAGTCACTTTGAATGTTAAGCATAACATAAATTCTATGAGAAACGCATGAGCGGTCGACCTAAAACAAGGGGAGGGTCGACCTGAGCTCTCCCGAATTAAGGATTATGTAGGAAATAACTCTTTGTGTCGACTGGAACAGGTCTATGCATCAACGCAAAACGCCCCAATTTTGACAAGCACAAATGCACACAATATGAGTCGACCGGAGGGTCGACGTGAGCTCTTCTGAGTGCAAGACATGAAAATTTACTTTTATGTGAGTCGACCTAAGCATGCTATGAGTCGACTCAAAGACTCAGAACTTGCAAAATTGCAGATTTTCATATATTTAGCTACTTCTTAGAGACCCTAATGCATCTCTATCTTGACCAACATGATCAAACTTATATAGAACACACGTAGTGCTCTTTGGATATGTACCTAGACATGTTTTGACAAATGTTTGACACAAGAAAGATAACGTATGCATATGCGACTCGATGATACCGTCCAAAGTACATTTTTCAAACTATATATGTTTTGACATCACTAAAATAAGTATAACCAAGTATGAGGCACTTTTCCCTCACATACTCCCCCTTTTTTATGATGGCAAAACAATAGAAACATAGTTGAGCACAATGTGTTGTATCATCCTCCCCCTTACTCTATGCATTTATCTAGAAACGATATGCACGTTTGATCAGTCTTGTAAAAGTGATTTGTTTCTGCTTGATTTTCTTCTCCCCCTTTGACAACATCAAAAAGAAAGAAGATAGAGGTCAATGCAAGACATATTATAATGAGATAAGCAAATTCACCAAATTTGCAACAGGATAATCATTAACAAACATCCACATATAATGAAGTTAATGAAAGGATATAAACTAATAAATAGATAGCCACACAAACGATCAAACGAAATACGTACTATTACAAATTAACAATGATTCATGTCTTGATAAAACAAAAAAACATAAGAAGATATTAACACTAGAATGTGATGAATAATAGATGAAATGACATGCGCTATGATATACAATGACTCCTCAAGGCCTTCTCCCCCTAAAGTAACGGCCTCTTTCGCAAAATAGATATTCTTGAGGTGGAGGAAATTGCTCATCAATCCATTTTGTATACTCTAGGACAGTTCGATTGAGGGTGTTGAAACTGGTAGTGAAAGCACGATGTTGTCCTGCGGTAGTTTCAACCATGCCATCAAACCTACTCATCACTGTTGTTGCAAATGAGTTGAAATTATTTATGTGAGCTTGAAGCTGGTTTTGCAAATGTGTGAAACGTTCATCTTGGGAAGTGATGAAGTTTTGTTGTTCGAGCTGCATACTTCTCATCATTTCAAGGAGTTTGTCGTTGTTCTGTTAAGGACGCGGAGGTGATGGAGGCACGTGATTCCAATCCGGGGTCTCTTGATATTCCAAATTTGTTGCTTGAGGCATGTAGTTTTCACCTGATGAACTCCATCCTGTGTGTTGCCATGCACCCCATCCTTGGTTGTCATCATGTTCCAAATGGGGTGATTGATCTAGCCAACCACTTTTATCTTGTTCATCAGTTTCCATGTGATTTCCACCCCCTTCTTCTTCTTCTTCTTCTTCTTCTTCATTTTCATCACTCTCATCAGAGTCCTGCAGACGAGAGCTTGTGACCTTAACAATAAATCTGTAGCGAGTTTCGCTAGGATTCTAAATATACCCCAACATAGTTAGAGTCTTTTGGAAAAGCTCTTGGTCGATTGTCAAGGTTGTGTAAGGAATACCAGGTACTACTACATTTGCATGATTAAGGACATATTGGATAAAAGAGCCATAAGACAATGCGGTTCCTCTACCAGAATCTTTCAAAGAGTAGATTCTACTCGCAATATAGTGAGGCTAGCTAATCTTGATCTTCTTTTTCAGAATGTAGACCAAGTGAACCTTGGCTTGATCAGCTCGAGAATAACCACCTTTCTTGGGTCGAAGAATGTGCGAAACAATCCACTGTAGAATTATGTCAACATGCTTCAACCTGCCAGTTGTGACTGATTTTGAAAAAGGTCACTAATGACGATGTCATTAGCATAAGGTTTCTTTAGCATAGAGTTCAAGGCTTCCTTGAACTCATATCCATGCACAATACGAGTATCTATTACCTTAATCAGCGGCTCAACATACAGAGGAGACATATTGGAAAGATTTTTCCAGACAGAGTCATTGACATATACCTTGTTATTACCAATCTTAGTACTGAACTCAAAACCCTCGAATTTTCCTTGAAGACCAGTGTAGAAAATTCTTACCAAGTCTTCATTGTATTTATTATCGCATTCCAAGAAGTTGTTGAAATTTTGCAGATCTAGAATATCAAGCACTTCTTGAATGTGCATTCTCTCATCAACTTTTTCAATAATAAACATATTTTTTGACTATGGATCTCTTTGATTTTTCTCATAAAGATCAGTGTATTCAGGAGGTAAAAGAGAAATAGCGGTTATCAATAGAGCAGCTCTAAAAGTACCAACTTGAGCAGATGGAGCTCTGGTTGTTCTTTTCCTGTTACTCTTCTTGTAGCCATTAGAGTAATTCTTTGAAGAGGATGAATAGTGAAAACAAAGTTTTTGATATTGGTTGGAGAGACTCACT